AGTGGCTGGTGGGTTTGAACCACCAGCCGTCTGGTTAGCAGGCAAGTGTCTTAGCCACTATGCTACCAGAGCTCCCTTAATAATAGTAGTAGTTTTGAAACAGACAATAGCAAGCAAACTAAAAACCAGAAAAAAGAAAGAAAAAAAAAATCGGGGGAAGGCAGGGGCAGGGCACCCAGGCTCCATCCAAGTACACAGAGTGGGATGGAGTTCCTGCGGGCCCAGAAGGTGGGTGGGAGTTGGGGATGGCCAAACCTCTGTTCACCAAACGGATGTGGGATATAAGAGTAGCAAGGGGAATGTCGCACATTTTCAGTCTTCCAGGTCTGGAGTGTCCTTGGGGCTACTCAGATATCTTCTGGAGGCTAGAAGTCTTAATTCCAGGTGCTGGCTTTTGGGGAGGTTTCTCTTGGTGTAATATTATCTGGAGCTCAATGTATTACATTGGACTCCTCTCCAGTAGCAGGTTCCTTTGTGATCTATTCATGTTTGAAAGAATAAATATAAATAAGAGTATATAAATATGACTTTGAATCCTAGCTTACAGTTCTAAAATTGAACTAAAATTTTGGTCTCAATGGTTGCAAAGACTTTTTCCATTTTTCATAAGGCAATGTGTATCTTTCCACATTAGTAGTGTAAAATGACAATAGCTTAACCTTATAGAATTATAGAGTTGAATGTGATCTTAAAATAAATAATAAGAACAATGATAGTAACATTAATAATTGCTGACAATTAAGAGCCCACTGTGAAAAGCATTGTTGTGAGAGATTTGTATGTGTTAGCTTACTTAATCAACCTTATTAGGTAATTACCTTATGAAGTAAAATGTTATCCTTATTTTGTAGAAGGTGACATGGATTGAATTGTATCCCCCTGAGATATGTTGGGATACTAACCCCTGTATCTGTGAATGTAATCCCATTTAGGAATAGGGTTTTCTTTGTTACGTTAATGAGGCCATATCCGTATAGTATATGTCCTAAACCTGATCACTTCTGAGTGATAAAAAGAGCAGATTAGACACAGAGGAGCATAAACAAAATAAATGCCATGTGGAGATCCTGAAGATTGCCAAAATACATTTACTTTGAATTTCAAAGTTCTATCTTGTTTTTAAGATGGTAAAGTGGGTAAGTGCTCAGCTGCTAACCTAAAAGTTAGTGGTTCAGACCTACCAGCCGCTTCATGAAAGAGAGATGTGGCAGTCTGCTTCTGTAAAAATTGTTGTTGTTGTTATGTGCTGTCGTGTCAGCCCCGACTCATAGCGACCCCTCCTTGGATTTCCGAGATGGTATCACTATGGAAGTAGATTGCCCAACCTTCCTTCAGAGGAGTGGCTGGTGGGTTTGAACTGCCAGTCTTCTGGTTAGCAGTCAAGTGGCTTAGGCACTATGATAGTGTTTCTGAAAAACGAGAAGGTCTGTTTTAATGGTAACTCTGAAAATCATGCTTGTAATTTTGAGCAGTACTTTTAACTTTTTAACATACATTTCACATCTATTATCTAGGTTTCTGATTTTTAGAAATATTTAACTTTTTGTAAAATAAGTACACTTTTGTTCCCTACTCGTCCCAGATTTAATCCACATAGTTACTTTGTCTTGATCTGTGTGTGTGTACGTACACATGAGAGAGAAAAAAAAGAGAGAAAAAGGGAGGGCGGGAGGGAAGGTGGGGAGGGGCTGTGAGCATGCACAAGCAGGTAAGGAAAAAAGAGAATGTTCTTATTTAAATGATTTAGCCCCTAAATCTATTCTATTTTTAGGAATTTATTTTAAGGAAATAATCAGAAATTGGCTCAGTGATGTTTCTACAAAAATGTTCATTGAAGCTATATGCATAATAGTACAAAACTGAGTACTATCTAAAAATCTAACATAAAATGTTGGTTCAATAAACTATATAGTAATACTTGACAACCGTTAAAATTATATTACAGAATAATAGTGATGTAGAAAACTTTATGTTAAATAATAGAAGAAATTACAAAACAGATTGGACAATGTGCTTTTTCTTATTTGATGAAAGGAATATAAGCATAGAATGAGATTGAAAGACTATGTACAAAAAATATTAACTGTGGTTACTGTTATGTGTTAGGATTATGAACAGCTTTTGTGTGTCTGTGTATGTCTGCTTTTATGTATTTTTAGATTTTTCTTGAAGGAACCATATGTGGCTTTTATATTTAGGTTTTTTTTTTTTTTTTTCTTATTCTATGCTGGTCATTTTAATAGCATCATTTTGCATTTTAGATGTTAAGTACTTTGTTCCTTTTCTTCCCTTGTCTCATGTGTACACTGTAGTTTTCTATAATATCATTGTAAATAGCCCCATACCTTTAATCTTGTATATACAGAGAAGATAAAGAATCACTGATGAAGGTTTGGTTTGTGGTTGGTGACTTTGTTTGATTAGGTTATGATACCATTAAGCTTAGTGCTTATTTGGCTGTTTGTGATTACAAATAACTTTATTCCATCTCAGTCACTCTCTTGAAGAACTTAGTCTCTATCATGGATAAAATAACAAGCTTATTCTTTCCAGAAAGGATAACACAGTTTACATGTATTCTGTTATTATATTTATCTTTTATAATAAGTCTTGATGACAAAATTAAAGTAGTTTCGATGTAAGTAAATTTTACTGTGAGTTATGAATGACTTGGTGGCACAATGCTTAAAGCACTTGCCTGCTAAGCAAAAAGTTGGAGAAGATTTGAACCTACCAGCCACTCTGAAGGAGAAGAATGCGGCACTTTGCTTGTCTGCTTCCATAAAGATTTACAGCATTGGAAACACCATAGGGTATTTTCAGTCTGTCCTTTAGGGTTGTTATGAGTTGGAGTTGTCTTGACAGCAGTGGGTTTTTTTTTGGTTTTATTATAAACTATTTTAGAATCCGGAAGAACTACAACTATAAGTTATATGAGGAAGAACGTAAGATTATACAAGGCTTTACACTAATTTTCATCATCATTGAAAAGTGACTCAAACCCTATAACCTGTTGACATTTGGGTCCATTTGTATATGAAAAAGAGTATCTTTCATAAGCATTGGTAAAATATCAGGAATGAAATAAAATATTTAGAGAACTGTGAAGTTAAGAGGGACTAGAATTAAAGGATGATATAATTAATATTAGTAGGAAAAGTTATGAAAACTCTGCCCACTAACAGAATTGCCTGGAGATGGAATGCTCAAGATTGGTTAGTGTTTTCCACATGTTGAAGGTTTGAATTAATTGGTTTTGTGATGATTGTTTATCTTGTTTTGCCTCTGAAATTCTCTTAAGTGTAAGTTGCTTTGTTGTTGTTTTTCCATCAAAAACGTTAAGAATTTACCTCCCCGCTATATAACTAAAGACGCTCTGGTGGTGTAGTGGTTAAGGTATTTGGCTGCTAACCAAAATTTGGTGGTTTGAAATCAAATCTCCTTAGAAGAAAGATGGGACAGTCTGCTTCCTAAAGATTTATAGCCTTGGAAAGCCAATGGGGGTTGCTATGAGTCACAGTTGACTTGATAGAAGGGAGTTTGGTTTGGTTTTTTGGTTATGTAACTAAAATAACAAAGGGGGAAAATCTTATAAAAAAACCAAAAACCCAAAAATCAACTATTTTTTAATCCTTAAAAATATAATCACCAGGAACTAACTGCATTAAATATTCAGAGGACTGTATTCTATTATTTCTTTTCCTTTTCCCTCTAGTGGGCAGAAAATATTTTAAAAATATAACATTGGAAGAGTTTTGTAGCATGGGGTATAATACACAATCTCATCTTTTTAAAATTTAAGAGATGTTAGTATTTCACAATCATTAAAGAAACGTTTTATTCCTTTCCAGGCGTAATAATGGATCCTTGAATGTTGAAGATGTTCTTACCAGCTTTGACAATACAGGAAATGTTTGTAAGTTACAGAAACATATTTAGTATTTTAAAAAGTGAATTTGTATTTTTTACTCGCTTATGTTTATTATAAGGCGCTCTGGTGTGTAGTGCCTAAGGCATTTGACTGCTAACCCACCAGCCACTCCTCAGAAGGAAGGTTGGGCAATCTACTTCCGCAGTGATACTGCCTCGGAAACCCAAGGGGGGGTCGCTGTGAGTTGGATCTGACTTGATGGCAGTGAGTTTGGTTTGATTTTTGGTTTATGTTTATTATATTTAAATGTGTATATATATTAAATACCAATATATTTAACTTATCTTAGAAACTTATGTCTTTAGTTGCAAAATAAGATGCCACTTCTAAATGAGATCAGGCTGTTTTTACACTTTGTAGTTTGGAGGGTAGTGAATGTGACAGAACGTTGGTCAGAAGGAACACTAGATTCTTGGATACATCCCTTTTGTTTCCATTTTGTCCTTAGTTAATGCAACAGAGGGTCTGTGTCTTCTTCTGTGCTATATTTTGGGTGTTTACTTTTCTAATCCCTGCTTCTTCCCTCTTTCACTACAGAATAATCCCTTAAAATGTTTCTTTTGTGCTAATATACTTTAATGCTAGAGTGTTTTTGTTTTATATAATATTATAATATTATAAAATTGACTGACTTTTTATCTAAGCTTCTGATTAAGTTGTGATACATTGCTGCAGATGTTAATGTGTTTTGACCTATTGATGTATTTATTATTTAATGCCGGTTTAATTCTTAGTTCAGTTCAACTAATGTTTTCTGAATGCTGTGCTAGATATAGAGATTCATGTTCTATAATCAATTTGAGATAAATCAGTTAATTGTAAATAATGTCATATGGTGAAGAAATCAGCTAAGAATAGTGTTATGTTCAACTGAGTTGAACAATATACCATAATAGGAGCCGGGTGTATCTTCATGTTTGGTTGCATAGACTATTTCTAAGATAGTTAATTGTCAGTGAAAAATGACAATTTTAAATGTGAAAATAGTACTTAAATACTTTTTCTCAAAGGAAAATTCAGAACTGTAACTGCTTATTGCCTTAACATAAACTACTAATGCTGCTTTATCAAATGGCCTCTAATTTTAGATCTGCATAGAACAGTGTTCAGTAATAGTCAGGCAATAATTTTGTCCTCATGCCCACATTATGACAAACTTTTGATTGTATAGAAAAACAGGTGTTTTTGCCACTGAAGAATCTATAAATATCCTAAAATTATTCTAAAGTGCTTAAAATAACATAGATTTCTTTTACATGACTAGAGGGAGGTACACTTTGTAATTTTTACAAGTTGGCAATTTGAATTCTTTCTCACTAAGACATATTTTATATCTTTATTGGGAATCAGGGCAAGGATTGGACAAGGGATGCCAATGGTGGTTGAAGAGACATTATCTGTTAGTGGTGGAGTAATTGTTGAATATCATTAAGTCAAGCCTATTCATGCATAGTTCAGGAAAAATATCCTAAAATGTAAAATGTAGATTTTTTGATTCCGTGATATAAAAATCAAGTATTGCTCCCAGTGGCTAAAGTATGGAATAGGGCCACTAGCTGGCAGCATTATGTTAAAAAAAAAAAAAAAAAAAAATTCCTATAGGTCTAAATTATTATTTTACACATGAATATCTATATTATCATAACCTTTTCTAACACCTTTTACCCATCAACTTGTCCCATACCCGCAAGTTGTTGTTATATTAACAGATGAAGAGATGACTTTTTAAGAGTATTTTTTTCACAGCTTTCTATTATTTGATAGAATTAAGACTTTGGAATGAGACCCACCTACATTTGAATCTCTCTCTAAGATGCATCTTACACAACTTACATCTTCTCCTTGAGCTTCAATTTTTTTCATCTCCTAGGACTAGATATAGCAACAACAACAACAACAAAGGACTGGATATAGGAGCTCTGGTGGTGTAGGGCCTAAGGCATCTGACTGCTAACCAAAAGCCTGCAGTTCAAACCCACCAGCCACTCCTTGGAAGGAAGACTGGGCAATCTACTTCCATAGTGATACTGCCTTGGAATCCCAAGGAGGGGTTGCTGTGAGTCAGATGTGACTCAAGGGCAGTGCTTTTTTTTTTTTAAAGGACTGTATATAATGTATATAGAGTGTATAGCACTGCATTCCTCATACCTGACACTCAATAAATGGAAGCCATCTATTATTACTGGTGATGAGTAACTCTAAAACTTCTTTCAGTTTTTTTCTAAGAAAGAAAATAATCTTATTAAAGATTATTCTCATGTTTTAAAGAAATTATTTTAATTGAACTAATTAAAGCAAGGTAGGAAAAGTACTCAGGTTAAATTGCCAAAATAGTAATTTAGTAAAATGTCTTGTCATAAGTATGGTTTTAAAAACCTGAATATATTGTCAAGTTATGGTAGTGCTGACAAAAATAAGGAAAACCTATTAAAACATATTTTGTGCAATTTGTGTATCTTACTGATTTTATTTTAAAAGAAAAATCTTTACTGATTTTTTGTTTTTAATGATAAATTATAAAGTTATACTTCAATAAAGTAAATATTGAATATAACTTTTATTTGATCTGTGGCAAGGCATAAAGTGATCCAGAGTTGAAAAGTGATTTTTCACTTGATGCTTCCAAGTTTTTTATTTTATGCTAATAGTGATATTAGCTTGAGTTTGTGACTAGAAACTCCAGCAGAGGGCACCACAATCATTATTCTGTCTCACAGTACAGTGTAATTGTAATAAATAACTGTAAGCTTTCACCATGTAAATGTATAAAAATGTGTGTTTAAACATTTCCACTTGATTTATTTCTAATGTAATCAACAATTTATTAATATGAAGAATAGATTTTCCTGGCTGGTTTTTCAGCCCAATTAGTTTAGTTTAGTTTTAATACCAGTTTAATTTTATACTTCTAGCTTTAAATAAAGGAATACTTTTGCTCTTGCTAACCTTGATGGCAAGTGAAAGTTGTATACATGAGTATCAGTACTTAAATGGCCACCTTGGTAGTATACTGGAAAATATTAACAATGAGGAAAAAAAGTTTCTTTCATCTATTGAGAGAATCAGTGGATAGAATTACTCCTTTTCTCAGGTATTAGTTTCCAGAGCAATACTATTTTATGATAATAGAAAAAAATTAATAAAAATATTTTATAGTTACAAAACCCTGATGTATGTATAGTAACACAATATAGGCATAGTTTAGTGGAACCATTAATTTCAATTTTAAAAATCAGGTAATAATTGTATTCATTATAAATTTTCAAAGATGAGAGATTCAGTCTTCCTGAATTTCTTCATGTTCAAACCAAAAAGATATGGACAAATCTCTTTAATTTTGGAAAATAAATGAAACCTTTAGATAGTTTAATTCCTGATATAATAGAAAGAAAGCATTCTTTATATTTACTTTTATTGTTTAGAAGTGTTGTGTGTTTTTGAATGTTTGCCCTGTGAAGTGTTTTATTCTGTTGAGATACAATTATTTCACTGCCTTAATTCCTTTCAGCATGTAGGAAGAAATTAAAATGAATCTCAAATGGAATTAATCATTTCTGCATAATGAGTCATTGCTGTACCATATATGATCACACCTTCTTATATATTTATATTTGTTATTTTGGAAAACAAATTATTCTAAAAGCCTACCTCCCTTTCTGCTTGCCTTTAACTAGGAATGGGTATGAGCTTTACACTCTTTGTTACTAGTACTTGAGAATCTATTTCCTTCAAAGATATCCAAGTTGTTCTATGGTAAGGTTGTGCCTGCTGGTGATTCATCATGCTTGGAAAGAGGTGCCATTGGGCTGCCCAGGGAAGGGTATAGGATGACATCCTTCATGCAAGTGAGGTGCTGGCTGTTTCTGTGTTTCATGTAACATGTTACTCCATTACATTATCCAAGTATATAATTATTCATAATTAACCAGTTACCTAAAATTAAATACTTTTATTTGATAAGGTTATAAAATATTGTTCTGTATTATTATGTATAAATTTATTTATTTCTATATTCATTGATATATGAAATAGAAACATTATAATATATATTTTATTATTATAAATAATAATATAGGGATAATTCTTATACCTTGGGTACTCGAGGACTGCTCTGTGAGTACTGTAGCAGATTTTCTCCTGCTTCTGCCTTTTCTGGGGGGACAAGGATCCTCCTTTCCAGTCAGTTCCCAGAGAAAGCTTACGACTACATGTCTGTTGGAATGTCATTTTTTCTTTTTCCAAAATTGTCTTTTTCCTCTACCCAAATTGATTTTTCAAAATAGGATTCTCCTCAAGGCTTAATATATCCAAAGTTGGGTGTCACAGTCTATGTTATAATTATTTGGTATTCATAAAATTTTGTCAGTGCCTGGGGGTATAATAGCTTTATTTAGATTGTTCCAGTGCAGCATGCTTTGTTTGGTAGCTTGAACAGATGAATTAATGCTTCCCATACAATATATGCAGTATAATGTGCATATGACTTTTAAGAATAGGAAGTCAGTAGTTATTATATATCATTGTAATAACTTAGTGTGAATCAGGATTCTGGCTGATGTTGCAGTTTAAATTAAGAAAGTGTATTGGTAACAACTCTTCTGCTATTTGAATTTTTTTTTTTTTTCTCCTTGTTGGGCTGTATGATAGGACCTTGTGGTATCTGGTGTCTCATGGTCTCCTGGAGAGACTTGTAGACCCTCTGCTTGTCCTGGCATAGTGACATTTTTTCCATTAATGCCTCCAGCTGACCTGGATGTTTAATGCACACAACCACAGTCTTCTGCTTTTGGATTCATCCCAGTGGTCTGTTAGTAGACCTTTTTTGTGAAGTATCTAAAGGTAATTTCTTTCAGACTAGTAATCAAATATTACTTAAGGAAAGATTCTTATTAAAATAAAAAATATTTTCACTTTCTACCTGTATTTGGAATACCTAAGGTAACACTTAAATCTCTTAGGAAATACAGTCCAAATTTTCATTTTTT